CTAGTGGTGCTGGAGGTGGTGGTGGTGGTGGTGCATCTGCTGCTGGTGGTGCTGGTGGCGGTGCTAGTGGTGCTGGAGGTGGTGGTGGTGGTGGTGCATCTGCTGCTGGTGGTGCTGGTGGCGGTGCTAGTGGTGCTGGAGGTGGTGGTGGTGGTGGTGCATCTGCTGCTGGTGGTGCTGGTGGCGGTGCTAGTGGTGCTGGAGGTGGTGGTGGTGGTGGTGCATCTGCTGCTGGTGGTGGTGGTGCTGGTGCTGGTGCTGCTGCTGCTGTTGCTGGTGCTGCTGCTGCTCTTGAAAATGCTGCTCTGGAGGCTGCCACCGAACAGATATATTTACTTAACATGTAGATTAATGCTAATAATGTATTATGTAGTTTACAATAATCATTTTCCCCTATAAAATTCCAATCAAAATTATATATATTCTATACATTGAAGGTTGATCTACCAGCCACTATTATAGCAGGGATCACTCACCTATAGCATAATATCTTGCAGTGTACAAAAAAAATCCAACAACGATGTATTCAATGATCATTGTAAGTGTTCAAAAAATTGGTGCGATTGCAGTGTAAAAATGCAGAAAAAAATGTGCGGCCTTATTAACGATTGGTTGGTTTTTATAGAGGTTCAATTCAGCAATACTCTGCTAATCATTGACCAGTCGCAGACTAAACAGCGTTTTGGCAAGTTCGATCGTGTTAAGGCGGATCTTATTACTATAATGCTTATTAATGAACATAACATAAAACCATTTTCTCACCAAAAACTCTAAATCGTTGGACCATACTATGCTTCAAAGCAGGTATATCTTCTATGATGTTTGTTCCCGGCCCCGGAGTCCCTAAAATAGTGACATTGCTGCCACTGTGCAAAAGGACGGCGGCATGCATGCCCCGTCCTTCCATCTGCACCAGCTGTTGGAAAATATAAAATTGACAATATCTCAATTACAATTTTGTTAACTTATCATAAACGCTTTAGTACACACTGAGTAGTGTTGCAAAGTATGCTGCTACTACTCATTCATCAAAGAACCAGTGGCCATTCAGATACAACATTAATCGCTTCAATCTAAAATATCAGGAGATCATAATAATTATTATTATCTCCTAAAAATATCAATGGGAAAGTTTAGACATACCCTAGATTTATAGACGTTTTTAAGATAGACTACATTCTATAAGACTGCAAAGTATAAAACATTTACAGTACAATGACAGGTAATATAGGCAACCATGATATGTGCTGTAGCCTGTAAGCGATATCGTTAAAATTTAGCCCAGCATGAAATAATTCAGGCAAATGTTTAATACTATCTAAGAATACTACCAATGTTTTAAGTCTTCCAATTAAATATGCTGGGCTTTTTTTGGCCCCCTTCGCCTTCATACGTTCCCTGTCAAGTTCTTTTGGGGGAAAAGGCAACTTGCAGTTTTGGCAGGTTTTGCACCGGATCGATTGGACCCGCTTGCAAGATTGGCACACCTTCATTGCCTTGCCTTGTAAGCTCTAAAACAGAAAATTACATATTGTTACAATATCAATGATATTGATAACTCTGATTTTTAAACATGCATGGAGTAGGGGATGCTTAAATTATAGGTTATTATAATATTAGTCAGGTTCCTTAGTGCAAAATATGGGCCGGATCGTTACAGAGCTGACAAAAGCATCAAACTTTGCACAGTTGTAGCTTATGGCAGTACTATAAATATTAGAGGGATGCCCAATGCAGATATTCCTTAGAAGGGATATTTAAAAGATACAATAATACAGATTAATTTTCACAGATGATTTAGTTACAGGCGGTCAGGTCCAGGGCAAAGCCTGGTCAGGGGGTTCAGGAAGTTTTTGAATTTTCACAACTTACAAGGCATAAAATCACATTAGGAGACACATACAGAACAGAATTGTTACAGAGCATATTACAGTACACTGCAGGGAGTATATCTTGCACTGTCATTATCATAACACTAGAATTAATAATCAATACAAAAATTTACTTACATTCTGCAAACAAAATTATTTTAATGTACACTTCCACACTGTCCCAAAGGCTAACCTTTATATAATATAAGATGTTCATTGTCCAGGCAGTTTCAAATTTGTTTCTGGTCACTACAGTAGAACCAAGGAGCACCAACTGCCCCCTTAGCCATAGTATCATTAGGAGAACCCAGAAGCACTGACCCCTCCCCCATGATTATGAGGAGCAACGCTACGGGACGCACCAGGATTACGCGGAGAACTGCTGCAGGGGACACTGAGCCTGTAGAATCACTCAGAGCACCGCTACGGGACGCACCCACGCTTTACCTCCTTAGGATTACGAGGAGCCTCGCCCACTACGAGGAGCGCTGACCCGATGGGGAGAGGCACCGACCAATAGGAGCACTGACACGGGGAATACTGACCCAGTATAGGAGAACTAGGGCAGTCGACAGGAAGCAGACAACGAGCACAGTTCACCCCCGGAGATGGCAGAAGAAAGAAAACAGTAGAAATCGGACAGGAGAAAGCAAACAGAAGATAGAAGAAAGAAGAAAGCAGATAAAAGGAAGAAAATAGAAGGAAGGAGAGAGCAGATAGAAGAAAGCAGACAGAAGATAGAAGGAAGAAGAGAGAAGAAAGAAAATAGAAGTAAGAAGAGAACAGATAGAAGAAAGAAGACAGAAGAAGGAAGACCGAAGACAGGAGATAGAAGAACAAAGAAGGAAGACAGAGGAACGGAGATAAGAGGGAGGCGAACGCTGAGAGCCGACGACAGGTGCCATTACCCCTTATTTTTCACTCCGGGCGACCTCAATAGAGACGTCGGGTTCGCGTGCACTTGGTAGTTCTAAATTCTTGCACCTAGCATTTCCTTTGCTTTCCGTCAACATGAACTATATTTAATGTGTACGACGATGTGTAGGCGAGAAATAAAGAATACGGTTCAGTATACTTAAGAACTTGCATTGTGTTTATTTGCCTCTTTTTTGTTTGTCTCCTGCTGCCACGCAACACAGTCCTGCTTTGCCACCGGGAGCAAGAAATGATCCCGCAAAAAATAGTGCATTCACACTCACATAATTCATATAGCGGCTACCCCTAGGGCCACTACACTAATACCCTACAATGCTGGCGATAATATCTAATAACAAGACGAGTCACTTATACTGATAGTAATATGAATAATTTATTCACTAACAAACTTAGTACTTTAGTATGTCCGTGTGTGAATGTGGCTATATTCTGAGTAGGCTATAGACTATACATTTCTCGCTCCGAATTTGCAGCGCAGTGCCAGTGCCAGTGGTTGTGGTTTCTCGTGAACGTATTTGGGAATGAAAGTGTCAATAACACTGTAGCTCACCACAAAAAAAGGAAAAAGTTCCAGCTGGTAACTGTGCTGCAGCAAAACAAACAAGTTGCCAACAGTTCAACAAGCCATTTACATACACTATACAGGTCACGGATAATAAAAGTGCTTGTGAGCCTGCTGGAGAACGTGGGAGCACTCAACAAACAGCACAACCTGTTACTCCATTTATTCAGGTAATAAAAAATTTATATAAAATATAATATAAAACAAGTTGCCAACAGTTCAACAAGCCATTTACATACAATATACAGGTCACGGATAATGAAAGTGCCAGTGAGCCTGCTGGCGAACGTGGGAGCACTCAACAAACAGCACAACCTGTTACTCCATTTATTCAGGTAATAAAAAATTTATATAAAATATAATATATAGGGCCTAGTGTGCAAATATATGGATAATAATACAAACTTGAATGGAACTGTGATGTAATCTGATGTGACTTGAATATCTTTTCCCAGCCGGAAACATCCAAGGTTGATTGCAGCACACAGACGGATCCTTTCCTTCCTCCTTGCTCATGCCATGAGAACTCCATTACCTATGGCTCAGTTGATGCTGTATCCCGAGATCATCGCTATACCGTTGTTAGTGCATCAGTCTCCTTTGGCTTATTTATGCATGCATTCCCACAATTGTTGTTGTATATTTTGTTAGAGATTTTACAAGGTAACGTTGTCAACAATAGCCTTTGTGAAATCTTTTTGTCATAAAACAATGGCCTATGTAATTGCAGATTCCTGAGATAGGTAGTTCTAGCCATGGCCCTAAAAATGACAGCATAGATGTTGCTGAATGTATTGAAAGTACTGAGGTATGTTACAATTTCTTCATAAAAATAAAATATTTATAAAGTAATTACATAAAGTAATATTGCATGTATGCAAAGTAACATGTCATTTTGTTGTTTATCGTATGAAAGCTGAGAAAATGGCACCAACGTCTCCTTTCAACGAATCTGACAACGAGTCCTTTGACAGCTGTCCCTCGCATAGCACATCGATTGCAGAAGATCAGGCATGTATAATAATTGTGTATCCTACAAAAAGTTACAGACAGCAAGCTGTTATATTTCAATATTGTTCAACTAATTGTTATTAAAGTGATTGCTAAATTTAATATAATAGTACACAAGTGCGTTGTGTTATTACTAGT